CCTGTGTCTGAATGGTGTCAAGTTGCCAATGTCCTTCTTCCTTCTCTTGGAATTCTGTCCATGAGTCTCAGGGCTCAATCCTTAGTCCCTCCTGCTTTGGGGAGTTCATCTCGCCCATGGCTACAAACATGTCACTCCCCACGTCACATCCCTATCTGAGGGGGAGCTCTAGGCTCCTCTCAAGGAATCTACTCAACACTGATGTCCAACAGCCAAACCACACCCAATGCATCCAAAACTGAGCTCCTCTCTCCTCCCTGCACCTGCGCACCCTCAGCTCCTGCCCTGTGGGGGAGAAGGTGCCATTCCACCCTTTCATGGCTCAGGCTGGACCCTGGAGGCTTCTTGGACCTCTTCTGTTCCTATCCCACTTCCACTTAGGAAATCACCTGACTCCTCCTTCAGAACATGCCAGAATCTGACCATTCCTCACCACCTCCACTTGCACCCTCCTCCTAATGCAGTAGTCTCTGCATGGTCCTTCAGGGTCCCACGTGATCTGCCCCCAGCATCCCTCCACCTCATATCCAAATGTCTGAGCTTCAAATAGCCAGAGTGGAGAATGCTCGGTGGCCAGCCAGGAGTCAGCGAGGACCGCAGAGGGACCATGCGTTAGCAGTAGGACTGAACTGTGCCTGGAGCAAGGGTCCTCTGCAACCGTCCTAGCAAACCTTACAACCGGTCTCAAAGGCACCGGACAGACATGCGTGTAACTTAACTGCCTGCCCGACAGAGCCCACGCTCTTTAAGGAGGGAAACAAAGTCCAATCAACAATATAACAAAAAAATGCAAACACGGATCTATGCAAAGGAATGAAGAAAAAACATCACTGACTACAGAAAGCAAAAAAAGATAACAGTGTATTAAGAGTTTCCCCGTGGAAATAGAAGTGAAATGAATGACAAATAGCACAAAGAATGAGGTGGGAGAAGCGAAAGCACAGTTGTGAGATGCTTACACTGTTGACAAGGGGTGTAATAATATAATTTAAAGACTGTGATAAGCTGATGATACATGTTGTGAAACCAAGAGCAACCTCAAAGAAATTCAATAAAGAAGCAAAGATCATAAACCGGGAGTGGAGGAAAATGGAATTAAAAAATGCTCTCTGTGCAAAAGATGTAGGAAAAGATAGAAAAAATGTCAAGAAGGCTTCAATGAGACAAGTAGAAAATGAGTATCAAGGTAGTAGATTTAAATCCAACCATATCCATAATCACATATAATGTGAATGGTTTAAAAATGCCACTTGAAAACTGAAATTGCCAGTATTGATAAAAGCTGCCTGTAAGAAATCCACTTCCAATATAAGGACACAGATACATTAAAAGTAATAAGATGGAAACGAATATAACCATGAGCATTGCGCATAAGAAAGCTGCAGTGGCTATATTAATAGGCGATAAAGAAGACTTTAAAACAGAAAATAGTCCCAAGGATAAAGGGACGATTTCATATGGATCAAGAAGTAGATACATCAAGAAGACACAACAATCCTAAATAAGTACGTACCTAATAACAGAAATTGAAACGGTATGAAGCCAAAACCAAGAGAACTGAGAGAAGAAATAAGTGTATCCACAATATAGTGGGTATTTCAATCTCATCTTTCATCAATCAGTAGAACAAGTAGACAAAAAAAATAGTAAAGGTATAAGAACCTTGAACTACACTATCAACTAACTTGACCTAATTGACATTTCTAGATTATTCCACCCAAAAACAGCAGAATATACATTCTTCTTGGGAGTACCTGGGACAGTCACCACAGTATACCATTTAGCTCAATAAATTAAAAAAGACGGAAGTTACACAGGGTTTACTTTTGATCAGACTAGAATTAATAGAAATCAACAGCAGAAAGAGAGTTGGAAAATATCTAAGTATTTGAAAATTACATAAAATACTCTTAAATAACACATGGACCAGAGAAGGAACCACAAGGTAAATTAGAAAAATATTTTGAGCTGAATAAAATTGAAAACACAACAAACCAAAATGTATGAGGTACAGCTAAAGTATGTGTAGAGGGAAATACCTAGCTTTTAATCATTATAAAAAAGGAGAAAGATTTAAAGTCAATGATCTAAGCTTCCACCTTTATTAGATAGAAAAAGAAGAGCAAATTAGAACTGGAGCTAAAGAGGAGAAATCGACGAAACAGGAGACAAACAGAGGAAGCCAATGAAACTCAAAGCTGGGTCTTTAAAAAAAATCAATAAAATCTAGTATAAATCTCTAGTTAGACTGATTAACTCAAAAAGGGAGATGCTATAAATTACTAATATTTTGGATGAAACTGAGGATTTCACTATCATCCTATGGACATAAAAAGGATCACAAGGACATATTTCAAACTACATCATGCCAATAAATTCTTAGAGGAAATGAACACCACCTCTTCAAATGAATTCCCAAATAAGTACAAACCCTTAATCTACTAATCTAGTTAAGAAATCGAACTCATGCCCTAACCGCTTTGGCTCAGTGGATAGAGCATCAGCCTTCGGACTCAAGGGTCCCAGGTTCGAGTCCGGTCAAGGGCATATGCCTTGGTTGTGGGCACATCCCCAGTAGGGAGTGTGCAGGAGGCAGCTGATCGATGTTTCTCTCTCAACGATGTTTCTAACTCTTTATCCCTCTCCCTTCCTCTCTGTAAAAAAATCAATAAAATACATTTAAAAAAATAAAAATTATAAAAAAAGAAAAGAAATCGAACTCATAATTTAAAACCTTCCCACAAGGAAACTCCACACACAGATAGATTCACTGAGGATTCTACAAGCACTTAAGATAGAAACAAGGCCGACTCTATACAAACCCTCCCAGAAAAATCACACAGGGGCCCCGGAAGCCTTCCTAACTCATTTTATGAGGTTAGATGAACATATAATAACAAAGCTAGGACCAATATTCCTCCTAAACTTCACAAAATATTTGCAAATTGAATGTAGAAAATATACCATGGCCAAATAGAGTTTGTACTAGGAATGCAAGATTAGTTTAACTATTTAGAATCAATCAGTAAAATACGCCATGAACAGGATGGAGAAATAAAACATGAACCTCTCAATAGAGGCAGAAAAAGCATTTGACAAAATTCAACACCAATTTATAATGAAAACTCTGAACAAATTAGGAATAGAAAGAAAAACCCCTGATAAAGGATATCTAAAGAAAATTGCAGCTAACGTCATAATTGATGGTGAAAGACTCCACACATTCCCTCTATGATTGATAACAAAGCACGAATCTACACTCTCACATATTGTACTGGATCTCCTAGCTAGTACAATAAGGCAAGAAAAAGAAACAAAAGGCATCTAGATTTAAAAGCAAGAAGCAAATCTCTCTTGGAAAATCTACAAAAAGGTATTGGACTTAATAAGTGATAGTTTAGCGAGGTCAATAAACAATAGCAATTATATTTCTATAAAATAAAAACAATTAGAAATGAAAAAATGCAACAAATCTATTGACAATAGCATGAAAATAGAAAATGCTTAGTAACAAATACATCAAAATGTATTTAAGAACATTTCCCTGACAACTATAGTAACACATTATAGAGAAACATTAAGAGAAACCTAAATGAGAGATATTCCATATGCATGAATCTGAAGGCTGAACATTATACCAGTAATTCTTCCCCAAATTTTCTATATATTTAATACAATTTCCATCAAAATCCCAGTAGACTTTTTTTTTTTTGGTATCAATTGACAGACTGATTCTAAAATTTATTTGAAAATAAAAGGAACCTAGAATAAGCAACATGTTTTTGAAAAAGAAGAGAAATCCCTTGGACTCGCATTTCTTGAATTCAAGACTTACTAAAAATTTACAGGCCAAACCCTAACAGAACATATACTTAACCATATGATCCAGAAATCTCATTCAATCCCATAGACATGAAAATAGAGCCCAGCCGGTGTGGCTCAGTGATTGAGCATCGACTTACGAACCAAGAGGTCATAGTTCGATTCCCGATGAGGGCACATGCCTGGGTTGCAGGCTCGATCCCCAGTGTGGGGTGTGCAGGAGACAACCAATCAATGATTATCTCTCATCATTGATGTTTCTGCCTTTCTCTCTCCCTTTCCCTTCCTCTCTGAAATCAATAAAAACATATTAAAAAAAAGAAATGAAAATATACATCCCTACATAAATACTCACAGCAGCCCTATTCATAAAGCCCCAAAATGGAGACAGCTCAAAGATCCTTCAGCACGTGACCGGATAAACCAGCTGTGGTCCTTCCCACCACGGGGCACGACTCACCTATAAAAAGGACTGAACTACTGACACACTCAACACACGGGCACAGCTCCAAAACATTAGGTTGAGCCAAGGAGAGCACACACGTTATGTAATTCCTTTTATCTGATACCCTTGAAAAGACAAATCTCATCTTCGGTGTCAGAAAGCAGGTCGGTTGCTGGCAGAGAGCAGGAGTAGAGCGAGGGGGTTCATGGGAGGGGGCGCCTGAGAACTTTCCCAGGTGATGTAAATGTTCTGTGTCGTGGTTTTGGGGTAGTTACAGGGGTGTGTACATTTTCCAAAGCTCATCAAAATCTACACCCCAACAGGACCGTTATCTTATGCATACGGCATACATAAGTGAGAGTGGTACGGTTCCGGGAGGAAATGGGGTTTTAGTGAAACAGCACCACTGGCTGAGGCATCCTGAGGCTGCAGGCTGCACACGGCCCACCTCTCTGGCTCACAGTCTAAATGGGCAGGGCAGGCACTGATCTCAGGAGGACAAGAGGGGACTGTCGCCCAGTGTCCGCTAAGTCCCTGGGGAGAGAATGGCGGGGTGTCCCTGAGGAATTGTCATGGGCAGAGTAGAAGCCTGTCTCTGCAGTTATAAATGGCTTTAGATCCTGGAATAGTATGCGGCTTTCGATGCTAATGCATAACTAATACACATTCATCACAGGGTAGCCCGGAGCTTTCTTCTTTTTCTTTTATATTTAAAATGACAGCAGGGCCTTACCAGAGAGTTGCTTGAGGGCCACAGGTCTCACTTTGTAGGGAGTGCTGCAAAAGAGAAGACAGGTCACCGTGAGATACTGTCAGAGACGGCCGGGCACACCTGGCCCCAGAGATAAGCGCTCAAGTGAATTAGAATTCACTGGATTATTTGTTGTTGTTGTTGTTGTTGTTTTAAATTAGTTCTTGCCTGGCCCGGGTAGTTCAGTGGTTGAATGTTGACCTATGAACCAGGAGGTCACGGTTCGATTCCAGTCAGGGCACATGCCCCAGTTTCGGGCTTGATCCCCAGCAGGGGGTGTGCAGGAGGCAGCTGATCAATGATTCTTTCTCATCACTGATGCTTTTATCTCTCCCTCTCCCTTCCTCTTTGAAATCAATAAAAATATATTTAAAAAAACAAAAGAAAGAAAGTACCTGTCTTACCACTGTTGGAACGGCTGGCTCTAGGAATAGTGACAAGGCTGGCTCTACACAGGTGTGGTGGGTGGGGAGAGAGCCAGAGGCGCTGAAGACAGACGCCCCACGGACCAGACTTGGGATGGGCTTATGCAGAGACCCTCCCATCGCCACAGGATCCTGAACGGAGCCCAACTCTCCCTGAAGAGCCCATCTCAGCTGCGAATGCGCACAGGTAAACCTCTCATGGGTGAACTGGGGAACGGGGAACCCCAAACTGGGAACTGAAGCAAAAGTGGGCGTGGGACCGGACCTGGAGAGTGAATGTACCGAGCAGTCACAGGAACCTTCCAGGCCCTTGAGCCAGATGCCCGGGTTGAGTTTCTGGCCCCTCCAGGTTGGCTCCTTGGTCCTTAACCCTGACTCTGAATATCCCATGGCCAAATAGAGTCTGGGGGCTCTCAGACCCAGGCAAGCTGCTGCCGGGACCCGTCAGCTCCTGGCTCGGTCACGGTCGAGCCGCCTCGCCATTCTCTTCCTCAACAACGAACTGCTGCAAACTACTCTGGGGTAAACTGCCTTGAACTTCCATTGCATTTGTCTTTTTTTGAAAACATTACTGCCTGGGTGCCCTCCTTGGGAGGAGGAGCCCGGCCGGGACCCAGGAGGCCTGTCTCCTGGGCTGAGGGATGCCCGTCTGCCACCTCACAGGCACACAGCCCTTCGCCCACCAGAACGCTACACCTGTGACGACTGGGCTAAAACGGGAAACCGGAGGAGCCCTTGTGGAGGACACACGGGCTGCGCCACTGTGGCCCCTCCTCTCTCCCTGTGCCCGGCCACAGCCCCTCTTCTTCTCATGCTATTTGAGCGTCTGTTTCTCTCTCCCGTGAGGAGCTATCTGGACGCAGCTGTGGCAGAAAGAGAGGGGTGGCGTGGTCAAGAGGCCACAGCGTTCCCAGCTGGACCCCCTGGCAGCCAGAACGGCCCCCGGTCCAGGGAGAAGCGCGGGACCGAGGTCCCTCTGAGCGCTGTCCGAACAAGGTTGGGATGCGTCTATTCTACTTGTTGGTCCTCAGGGGACAGGGCTGCCAGGTGGTCAATCTCCCTTCTGACCAGCCCCCAGAGAGAGCGGGAGCCCCGCAGCCGCGGTTAATGAGAGCCTCCCCCTTGGGTCATCTGTCGCAGGTTGTTTAAAATGCGGTCTGGTCATCCTCTGACCTGGGGAAGGGAGGGGCCCTCAGTGGGTCCTGGCCGTGGGAGGAGCAGGAATTCAGCACAGAAGAGGGTATGCTTTTGTGGTGGGGCCCTCCTGTGCATGGGGCCATGGAGCTGCCCCCTGACCCTCTTCCCCCATGTGACAGCCATAATATCTCCAGACATCGCCAGATGCCCTCGCCCGCTGCCGCCCTGTGGAGAAGTGCTGCCACAGAGCCAAGGGCCAGACCAGAGATAACGCGTGACAGAGTCTGAAAAGACAAACTGTTTCAACTGAATTCAGACAAAAATGTGGTTTCGCTCCATCAGAGACCAGCTTGCACTGACAAGGCACTGGTCTGAGTGAGAGATCACTTGTCTGGTGGACAAGCCTGGGTGACAGGTCACGTGCTGGCTTTCCTTCTGCAGCGAGCTCTGGTTAGGCCGGAGCCTGGCTGAGATCTACAAGAATCTCGTTGACGTCTTTAGGGAGCCAATTAGCACCGTTCCTTCCGGGGAGCCCGGAGCCCATAATCAGGGGGCAGAAGCTGCTGATGAGTGAGATTCAGGGAGGCTGATGGGTGCGCTGGGCGGGGGAGGCCTGGCGGGGGTGGGGGAAGCCTGCAGGGGAGGTCTCAGGTCACCTGCCATTAGGCAGCCGCGAGCCCTCCAGTTGCTGGGTAGGTGAGGGTCTGCCTGGTGCAGGCTGTCTCCCGAAGGCTCAGACCAGCTGGCTCAGGCCAGATTCACACATGTCGCTTGGAGGGGGTGTTCAAGGAGGACCCGGAGACACAGACTGGGGTCTCAAGGGGCACCCCCACACCCAATCGCACTCGTGTTCCCCACAGAGAATGCAGTTTAAATTGCCTCGCCCAGCCCCTAGGATGAAGTGGGGGCCGTCGGGGACTCTGCAGAGCACTGGGCAAAGGGGCCGAACAAAGATGGAGGGGCCCTGCTCAGAGTCCTCGTCCTTCCTTCCTCTTGCCACACACAGTGTACTCATATTCGAAAATGTGTTCACTGCCGACCCCTCCCCTGTCCCTCCCCTCCACCCCCCCTCCCCCGGCTGCCTCCCCCCCCCCCTGTGCAGAGAGGAGTCCCCAGGACTTCAACACCAGGATTCGTCCCGGTGGGAAAATGCCAACTGTCCCCAGGGGCTCTGTCAGGGAATGTCCTGCTCCCCTTCTGCAGGTGGACAGGGGGTGGCTCCACTATTCGACACTCAGCCCCCTTGCCTCGGTTTGCCCATCTGTGAAATGGTAATAACACCAGTCCCTGCTCACAGGGCTCCTGGCCCCCTTACAATTGTTACCACCTGGGTAAGGAACCAGCTGAACCAAGCCTCCTTCACCGGCCCTCCCACCCCACCCTCCCATCTTTGCTCTACATTCAGATTTCTTCAGCATTAAATCACAAAAACAACCAGAGATCCTCGGGTGGGTGTGGGCAAGTGTCGGAGACGCCACGAGGACAGGGTCGAACTAAGCCGCCGGCCGCTTACCTCTCGGAATTTGCGGGCATGGTGGGGTCGATGGAGACCATGGCGTCGTCCGTGGTCAGCAGGGAGATGGTCGTGTTCCTGGAAGACACGCCAAGCCGGCGCCTTCACCTGACGGCCTCACGGGGCGCACCCTGGGATGGGCCTCGCGCGAGAGGGGCGCCCGGAGCCCCGAGAGCACGAGCGGACTTGTGCTTCGGCCCTGCCGCCCGGTTGTAAATAAAGCGGAATGGCCGAGTAACCCTACGTGCTCGGGGACTTCACCGTCATTTAAAATGGGACTTGGAGAAAGCCTCACTGACTGAGTTGGAAGGTTAAATAAAACGGGCGAAATGGGAATAAACAGTATATCGTTTGCCTTCCTACTTCATTCCTTTGGGAGTCCACCTAAATGGGCACGAATCTCTCCGACAAAACAGTTTTAAGTGAAAACGTGGAGTCTCCCTCCAACCTCTCCCCGGGTCCTCCCGTGAGCGGCTGCCTGCGCCACGGTAGGTGAGCTGCCTGCTCTTCAGTTGCGTATTTTTTAAAATCTGTGCAATGGGTGACACTCAAACCTCAGGGTTGGTCTAAAGCAGTGGTTCTCAACCGTGGCTGCACATTAGAATCACCTGGGAACCTTTTTAAAATCCTGATTTCTGGGCCTCATCCTCTGGAAATTCTGTTTCTTTGTTACTAATGTTGTGGCCCCAGCCCATAACAAAGGAACAGAATTTCCGGAGGATGAGGCCCAGAAATCAGGATTTAAAAAAGATTCCCAGGTGACTCTAATGTGCAGCCAAGGTTGAGAACCACTGGTCTAAAGAATAACATACATTTATTTCTTAGCACAGCCCTTAACAAAAGATGCCCCAGCCGGTGGCTATTTTTGCTGCTACAAACTGCCTGCCATTTGCTGTAATTCAGCTCCGAATGCCTTCCTCACTCGCCTGTGAAAGACTCCGTGGTCCCCGCTGGACCCGGATACTGACTTTAAAGGCAACTGTCCTGCCAAAGCTACTCCCAATCACTCTATAATTGAAAAGTTACGATAGCTTTCCCACTTGCTCTAGGACACTGCTGATTTGGGAAAACAGTTCTCAGGGAATGCTGACGATTCTATAAGGTAGGCAACTGGTCTTTTCCCAAATACTGATCTGTGATGACCCGCCTGAGCTAGAGGAGGCACCTGCTGGACCGTTAGGGGATGGGAGAGGTGGGGGCGGGCAAAGCCAGACACAGCTGCCCTCCTTCATCCTCCCTCCAAAAGCAGATGCGTCAATGGAGGAGAAAGGAAACTCTTGATGCTACTTTCTGCCTGATTCCGCCCAACGCTTTCCTCCCTGCAGACACGGGAAGCCTGTGGCACCAGTGTGCCGGCTGTGGCCGAAACCGCCAGGGTTTCATTCACAGATGTGAAAGGGTTGCCCAGGTGGCCCTTCTGCCCCTCTCAGCCCTCCCCCAGGGCGACCCCACCTCTTTTCCGGTCAAGGTGAACTGAAAGACACGGAGGCGGGGGCAGAGACGCCCTCCTGGCGGCGGGTCGGCTGCACACTCACCGAGGCAGGCCGGTGGCGATGCAGAAGAGGTCCATGATGTCGCTGGAGTTGCAGTACTTGCTGAACACCACCTGCGGGACAGAGCGACAGGCCGTGAGGAGCGGAGGAGCGGCGGTGGGTCTCCACGTTGGCTTCAGAGTCCGGGAGCTCCTCTCCGGCCCCAACCCGCAGGCTTATTTTAAAAAGAAGAAACCATAACCTTGGGCTCTGGAATGTTACACATAATACACGTCATTCAGTGCATGGAGAGAGGTTGTGACTAATTTCATTCCTTTGCCACTGAAAAGAGTTGTAAAATCCAAAGCGACCGCCCACGTAAACGCCCCCGCAGGTGACAGGCGGCCACATGCCCACCCTCCGTGGAGCCTGGCTCAGCGCAGATAACCTTGGCTTAGGGATGTCTCACTGCAGGGAGCCCCCAGTGACCTCATGAGGGCCATTATGTAAAAAAATAATAATGTATAAATTTAAAGGTCGTTAGTTTTAAGAAAATTGCCTTTTAGGACCAAGGGCTGATGTATGACTAAATCAGGAAATCACAGTGAGAAGGGACGTGCTGTGAACCATGGTCCCCAGAGCACACCATCTGGGTGCCTCCCACCCGGACGGGGGAGACTGAGTTGGCGTCAGCGCCTTTTGTCCAAGGGGTCCCAGGTCCCGCCCTGGGCGACTTCAAGTCCACCCAGGGAGCTGTTCTCCAGGCCTGACAGCGCACGGGCCAGTCCCCGCCGAAGCTCCACTTCCATCACAAATGTTTCCCTGACCCGGGCCCTGCTTGCTCACAGCACGAGCTGGGCTGGGAGGGAAGCAAGCCTGAGTGGGTGGTGGCTTGTCAGTGCCCAGGGCACCACTTTCAGCGAAGCTCAGTTTGCATCGTCCTTTATTAGACACAGTGAACTATAAAGAGCAGGTGTTTCCCCCTCAAACTTAGCCCTTCTGTGACCAACACCAGGTCCTGTGTGCTGATGGCCTGGCAACACTGCGACAAGGCCACTGTCAGTGACGGTGCCATTGGCCTGCGCTGCCCACCCTGCAGCCGCTATCCTGGCTCAGCCCTGGACCCTGGCACCGACCTGTTTCTAGATCCAATTGGGCCATAGAAGGTCCACCTCCTCCCCTGGGCACATGAGGTTCTAGGGTTTGTGTGTTCTAGCTGAGTCCTTGCCAAGTTCCTATCCCCAGCCTCCACTCCAGGCCCGAGCGTCCCCACCCTGGGCCCTCCCCTCCGGCCCTCCTCTTCCTCCGGTTCCCGTATTCCCTCTCCCTGCTCCTGGCCATCAGGACTCACTGGCAGCTGCTCCTCGAGGCCTCTGGACCCGACACCCCTGCAGAGAAGTCTTGCCTTTGACCGTGTGTCAGGTCCATGTTTTCATGGCAGCGCATCCCCAGCGGCCCTGGCCACTCACGCACTGGCACGGGGATATTTCTACTTCCCCCTCTTGGACCTCTGTCATGTTCATTTCCATCGCTGGGCAGAAGTCCTGGGTGCTGGCGGGTTGGGTGGCACTGCCCGGCTCAGGAGCACCACCTGTTGTAGTTCTCCAAGGCAGACGTGACGCCTTTATAAAGGTCCCCGCCCCTGGGCGCATGTGCGCAGACACCACACGTCTAGTCGGGATCCCGTCCCAGCCCCTCGGAGCTCACGGGGTGGGGACGATCTCGGGGTTCTCTCCAGTCTCATCTGGCAAGACAGCTTCCGATCACGGCGTCTGAGGACTTGACTAGAGGAGTCATGTCAACAACAGCACCTCCGAAAGCGAGGGGGCCGCGAATGGGACCGCAGCTCTTACGACAGGGGGTCTCCCAGACTTTGCCAAGAGCACCCGCCCCACAAAGCAGTTGGGGTGAGGTGGTGTCCTGGTTGCCGCATGGCCCTCGAGGCTCCCTCGCCTCTTATCTCTGTGACTTGAGCAAGCTACTCAGCTTCTCTGTGCTCCCGTTTCATCTTCTGTAAAACGGGCAACCCAGGTCGCGGTCACCGCAGAGGGTGTTTTACTCAGACACTTGCTGAGGCTCCGCGATCAGCTGGAGCCAGTTTGTGGCTTCATTGCAGGACCGACCACCTCAGAGCCCCAGAGGACAGGACCCTGGGGGCCGGCGTCTGACGGCCTCATACAGACGATGTTCGTACCGTTCGCCTGGGATTTCAGTTCAACAACAGACAAGTGACGAGATGGCTCACCCGAGGCCCCGCGGAAGCAGGACGACGGGCACGGTGCTGTGCTTGTCTGCCGCGCTGTAGACGTTTTCACGTTTCATTTTCCGGATGGATAGGGAAGCTCTTTCTCCTCCGAAGCTATATGTCACTCTCAACAACCTAACAGCTCCTTTTGTAAAGCGAAACGAAACATTTTCACATGCTCGCTGGGTTTTACTGCCTGCCCTCCCCTAATTCAGAAACTTTTATAAGTTTTTGCTTTTCATGGCAAAGCTGTTATCTGCAAAGTCTCCATGAGCACACATTCTCCTTCTTACCAGGCTGTACTTGGGGATATCGGTCTTGCTCATTTACTCAGGGGTGACCAGACTCTTGTGACCACGAGGAGTTGGTGCTTGCGGAGCCCTCCTTGGGGACTGACCTGGTCCGGGGCCCCCAGGCTCCTGCCTTCGAGGTGGGAAGGGAGGCCTCACCTACTGGCGGCACAGGGGCCTTGGGACATTCTGGGGAGCTGGACGAGAAATGAGTTCCCCCAATTTGTAAGAGAGTTTTGTGCGCTGGCCTTCCTAGCCTCGGGACAGCAAATAATGGAAGTGCTGACAAGCCCAATTATGAAGTCTTTCGGCAAAGCAAACACAGGAAGGGCCATCTGGCAGACTGGCCCTCTTGCCCTGCACAGAACAGCCAAACCACGTGAGGCCAGCCTTATCCTGTGATCCAGAATCATCTTTCCTTCAGGTCACGTCTGCCAACCGGTGGGGAAGTCTGGAGTAGGAAGAGTCCAGGGGGTGTCTCCAGGGGCAAACCATGCTGTGTCCATTGGCAAACACATTTCAATATTCTGCATATAAACGCGTGGGTCTTTGATCCTGGCTGGTTGGTCATGGTTAGAGCCTCAGCCTTCAGACCATACCTCAGTGGCAGGTTTGATCCCTGATCCCGGTTGGGGTGCATGTGGGAGGTAACCAGTCCATGTTTCTCTCTCTCTCCCCCTCCTTCCTCCCTCCTACTCTCTCTAAAGATCAATGGAAAAAATATCCTCAGGTGAGGGTTAAAAAAATAAAAATAAATGCATGGTTCTTTGATTTCTCTTTTTGAACATCTTACCAGTTCCCTTGTTCAACTAATGCATTAGATAAAAATCTTTGACGCGTATCATATTACGGCTGTGTGAGAGTTGTGCCTTTGCCTTACTTATTTAGTGAGTTAATGAGCCTTCAGCAGGGCCAGGCAGGTGAGAGGCAGGGTGAAGCAGCAGGTGCACCCTCTGTCGGACGGGCTGGGAAAGCAGCGTCTTACCGTCTCTCCAGGTGTCAGAGAATGTGGCGAGCAGGCACGGCCATGGCATACTCAGCCCCATGTTGGGTGCCATATATACCGAGCCAGCTAGCCAGGTTCGGTGAACCTGAGAGGGGGCGGTGAAGGATTGAGAAAAGAGACAAGAGAAAAAAGCTGGGTCTGGGTGGGCCGCTGTCCTCTGTGATGGAGAGCTAGTGACAGCGCCACAGGCTACAAGCTGTGTCTTTATTTTATAGCCAGATTCCACGAGGCAAAGTAAGGGCGGGGTCTAGATGTTTGCAACATTCTCATGCGTTTTGATCCTACTTAATTACATGCACCTGAACTCTATCAAGTCCACATCATTCAGGCACATGGGGCCACATGTTCGGACCATAGGTTCAAACTTACAAGTACAGCCTTTGTCTATAATTGTGCTGGGAGGGCTTTGCCCTCTAAACTGGGACTTGAAAGTGGCTTTGCCATGAGAAGACTGTGCCCTCTCATTAGTCTGAGGCTTGAACCTGTCCAAACACTGTAGCTGCTCTCCACAGGAGAAGCCCCGCCTAGACCAGGTGTTGCTGCTGTGGGAACCAGCCCCACAGCACACGTGCTTGGGTGGCCTGGGAGACACCCCACCCCGGGGCAGCCTTGTCAGGAGGGCACAAGGCTTTTTGTTCACACGTTGGATCATTTTGCAAATCCTTTATCCTTTATCCAGAAACAAAGAGCACCAACAAAAAAGGGTTTTTTTTAATAAAATGAAATTTAAAAATAAGATATGGAGGCAGTAAGATTAACGGAAAAAATAAAGATTTGGTACTGCTGTCCAACTTGAGGCAAATCGGGGCCAACGTTCATGAATGAGCACAGCGGGTCACCCCAAACTCTTCTGTGGCTTGATTGGCAGCCCGTGATATTAAAACAAGACCAGAGAAGTAAATGAGAAGGCAGAGGTCTCTCGTCCCCGGATATTAATCTCCCCTCGTATTTACTAGTAGCTGGGCCTTGAATGTCAGGGGAACTTCAGAAGCCTCCCACCGCCTGCATCACAGAATGACTGACACTCACCGAGCGTGAGCCACAGGCCCAGCCCTGTGCTCAGGGATCTCCACATGGGAACTGAGGCACACGGAGACACGCGAGGCTCCCACAGGCCTAGCCCATGAGTGGCAGTCAGGACCCCAGGCCACCGTTATTCAGTGTTCACACCTGAACACAACACCCACGGCACCAGGTCTCTGTCTTTTGATACCTACACTCTAACCAGCCGTGAGCAGTGGTGCTGTGGCAGGAGTTGTGGGTCCAGTGCTTGTCCCCAGTTTCTCCTTCTGTTTCACCCTACCCCGACCCATGGGCAAGACCATAACCACTTGGAGCCTCAGTATGCCATTCTGTAAATGGGGCTATAAATGCCCGCCTCTCAGGACCGTGATGAGAAATACGTGAGGGAACACGTTTGAAAGGAATCACTCGGAACACCTGCGGCTCGAACCCAATGTCATACCAGCCAGGTGCCCATGGGTCGCCCGGTCCCTGCTGGTTCCAATGCCCTGATCTGGACTCAGGTCTTCAGGGGTCTCCGAATTGCCAGATGCACCCAGAACAACATCTGGCCACATTTCGTTCGGGACC